AACACTGGGATTACAGGTGTGAGTCACCACGCTACGGATGATTTTTATGTAGGGACAAAGACCAAGAGGCCTACTGAAAGGTAGAACTTTAAGGATCTGGGTACTTGGGGGGAAATGCTGTCCAGAGAACTGGGCTGAAGTGACCGTTGTCATAGTACTCATTCAGCCACATAGAATGTGCTAGGCAGGAAGAAAGGACAATACAGATGCAAGTCAACCTGTTCATGTCTCTTTCTGTATAGCAGGTTTGCCTAGAGAGAAAAATAATGGTAATGACTTAACTTCTATCATCAGATTATTGTCAGGAAATGGATTAAAACAGAGTACTTAGGAGGGTCCAAAGCATCTGTTCTGTGGAAAAGCAGAGAAAACAATCATTTTGCTTTTCTGACTTCTCCGTCAGGACACACTTCCAGTCATCCTGGAGTTCTGTTTCTAGAACACAAAGGGCAGAAGTAGAGGTGGTCTGAATACCAGCAACTTACACACCTTGTCCAGTTGGGGAGTATTTTACTGTAGACAGAACGTTAGCTGGGAATCAAGGAGTTAACGCATTTCCTCCTGATTGCAACGCTGCCTTAATTGCTGCTGTTTATTCTTGGCATTGGTGGTCTCCCAGAGACAAGGTTACCTTGTAATCTCTTTGTGCTCTTCTAAGTGTGTGGGGTCTTATTGACGGGGGTAAAATGCTTCCAACTTACCACACTCAGAGAAAGAAATCATAAATCAGCAGGTCAGTAAGGCACTATTATGTCACATCTAAAGTTATTATGTTTTCAGTACAATATTTCAATGGATTTCTTTTTGCATAATAATTTATCAAGAATTACCAAAACTCTAATGAGCTCAGAGAACTCTGGCACCACTAAAATGAAAGCTTTATCACAAATTGGTTGAGCCCATGAATGCAACTTAATCATTCAATTGAACCTCAGTCAAGTTGTGTTTTTACTTTGTAAGAATAAGTTCTCAGAGAAAGAAAACTCATTTTTAAAGTTTGGGATATTGTCTTAAAGGGTAGAATTTGGGTGGGTTAGAATTGAATAGGGCCAAAGTCAGGATGACTGGAATCCAGCCACTGCTCCACAACTTCCCGAACTTTGGGGATATCAAGGCTTCAGTGGTTTCCGATTATGACAGTGAGGACAAGAGACAGGTCTAAACAGAGGCTTTCTGAAATCCCGTGTTCTAAAATCCTATGAATTTGGAACATTGAATTCTCAATTTTTATTGACTATTACTATGTAGAGTGTATATGTGTATGTGTGTGTCTATGTGCATATATATGTGTGTGTATTTCTCTGTATATGTGTGTTTATGCATACATGTGTGTATGTGAATGTGTGTGTATACATGTGTGTCTATGCATGGATGTATGTATCTCTGTGTGATCTTTGTGTATATTTGTGTGTGTGTGTGTGAGTGTGTGTGTGTGTAAGTGTGTGTGTGTGTGTGTGTGTGTGTGTGTGTGTGAGTGTGCCTGGAAAAATTTGTTGGACCTGAATTAATGATTAAATTGCCTATCACTGGAACAATTTTTCTGTCTAATAACTTAGTGTGTGTCGACTACACGATGGCCCTTCGTCCTCCAAGTCCTCCCACTCCAGTTAGACACCCTGATTCCTATTTTATGGCTGAGAATGAAGGACCTCGGAGGACATAAGCCATGTTTCTCAAGGTCCTGGATCTAACAGCATGTGAAATATGAAGACTGGTTCATATGTATCACAGTCTGTAAAGCTGTGCCCAATTACAAAGAAAATCACTCAGTGTAATTCAAACTATATCTCACTAAGTTAAATGTGACGCTAACCACCTAAAGCCCTTTCCTGTACTACGTTACAGAAGGCACACTGCCCAGCTAAGAACACCAAGGGGAACCAAGTATTTCCTTTGCTCCCACATAGCTCTAGACAGAGTCAATGAGCCAGGACTGTGACTAATACTGTCTGCTTACCTTATGAATCCAAAACAATAACAGCGGGTTATTAATGACCAATTCTTTTCCCTCAAGAGAACACAATGAACAATAGTTAGAAAAGCTGATTGGAGGGGGAAAGGTTTTGTAATTCTCTCAAGAAAGTTCAGATGTGATGGAAATTACCACTCAAATGCAGTTGAAAAGGAACACAACATTTGATCTTAAAATATAGTGAGTGAATTTCACACTTGATGCCACTGTTGGATTAACTCTATTCTTTGTCAATAAACAAAATCTAAAACTCTACCTGCTACTGTTGAAAAATGGGTAAGAACCTTATCAACTAATGCCCATTCCCAAAGCCCTAGGATCTCCATCTCATCAGACGGTCTAAGAAGAGAAGAAAAGGAATTTGGGTCTCTAGGGACTCTCGGTTTGTTGTCATGGGGAAGTTGAGTGGAGGTCACTTATTCTTCAGCCTGAAAGGCTTTCATACAGTGAGCGGGTCAAGACGCACCAGCAGCCTAGGTCCCGTACGTGAGACCCAGGCCAGCTAGCCAGCACAGCAAGACAGTGACAATGTACAAAAGAAACCAGGAAACAAGGCAGCTAGAAAGGCCACCGCTGCAAATGTTCACTAAAGAAAGAAGGAAAACCCAAGAAAAGAAAGAGAGAAAACAGAAAAGTCGGGAAGGTAGCTTTTTCTGAAATCTTTGTAAATGTCATTCATGTATTAATGCACATTAAACCTGGATGCAAGAAATGGAAATAAAAACTCTCTCTCCCGTCTATTGAGGCAAATAAGTAAAGCTGTTAGGAGTTCCTGCTGAAGAGGAGGAGTGCCTGCTGAAGAGGAAAAGAGAGAGAGAGAGAGAGAGAGAGAGAGAGAGAGAGAGAGAAAGAGAAATTATCAGTGACCAGTGACCTTAAAATAAATTCCCATATAGAATTGGACATGTGATTGAAGGAAGATGGGTGATTCTGGTATTATGACCAGATTTTGTTTGTAGAGAACTCTATTTGTGATGTTTCAAATAATAACAGAAAACTTTAATTCTTCTTTTAATCTTGATGAGTTGTGTGAATAATCCTAGCAGATGAGAACTCTGTTAAACCTTTAGCAGGGAGAAGACAGAATGGATTTTCAATCTAATTAAAACTGTGAAACCTCAGAGCTGATGTTGGTTTTAAAGAAATAAAAATAATTTATGAAGAACTGACCCAAAGCCATTTTATGAGACTGGTTCAGGTACCAAATTTTGTGGCGTTTCCTCTTAGAGTGAGTGACATTACAGTAAAATCCACCAGTAGTCCTTTCACTGAGGCTTGAGAAACTCGAACTTATAGCTCAAGAAAGACTTCAAAGTGATTTTTAGAATGTGTGAAGGTTTGTACATACAGAAAAATTGGAAAAATTGTTCATTTCTCTTAATTGGAAGGTGTATTTCAATAGGAAAAGGAAAAGATATCTAAATTAAGTTGACCTTCAATGAGACCTCACTAAAAGAAAAAGAACTCTGAGGAATATCATCTTTTTGTCATTTAACCTATCACTCATGTGTGAAATTTTCCTACTTTAAGTCTATACAAATCAGTGTAATCTATTTAGTATAGCCATCTAACCCATGGAGAGTGGCAACTGCCTTTCCTAATGTGTAGACCAGTTAATATTCGTATTTAGAAGCAGCCTAACTTTGGACAAAGTAACATGAGAGCACAAGGTTCCATGCAATGTAACACATTGTTTAGTGACATCTGGAGCAACAGCAGTGGCACAAAGCCTCTAACAGATGGAACCTGGATGAATATTGAATGCTGATTTCTACAAGGTCTTAGGACTTTGTCTAAAAGAAGCAGAAGAGAGGACACAGGTCAGAATACTAGGTAAGTATTTTCAAATAGCAAACACAATTAAATCTATGGAAAATTTTGCCCAAGGTGGAGCAAGAAAGAATAAATCCTTGGCTCCTCTGCAGAATCAAGGATTAGAAAGTAAATGTAGTTGACCCAATCAGATTGGCTGGGAGAGACTTGGTCAGCAACTAAATTGAAGCACGATTAATATGTGAATGGAATAATTTCTACATCTGCTCCTGACTGCTCTACTTACATGTTAGAACACATTTACGTCGTAGATACAGGCATTCAAGTGAATGATGAATTTCTACCTTGACTGGGGGAAAATATCACAAAAGATGAGCAACAGTTGCTCCTGATTAGATGTTGAATGAAGTTGGGTTCCTGGCTCCAGGAAGTCAACAGTTGGAGAATGGGAGAGCATACTGATCAGTACCATGTGTCCTGACACTACGCTTAAGTTCAGTGGATATAGTGTCTGAGATCGCCCAGGCTAGACTGAGCTCCTGACCATTCTGCCTCAGCCTACCAAGTGCTGGGATTGCAGGTCTGTGCCATCACACCAGACTCTTATCTAGCTTTTTTACCTCATTGGATCTTCAAATCACAAAGATGCAAGTGCTTCCAGGAAAGACAGTTGCAGGAAAAGAAAAAAAGAATTCTGTCAAAGTTCGTGCTCATAGCAAATAGAAAAGAAGTTACCTGCAGCTTATGACATCCCTTGGCTCCAGATAGAGGCTGCAGGTGCCTTCTAGCCCTCACACATGGTTTCCCCAGGAAATACCCCATGAGATCTGCCACTGATTCATTACCTTCCCACGTTCCACTTTGATCACACAGTTGTCAACACACAGTACAAAACCTCTGTGGCTCTGAGTCTCTGCCTCAAATCCTGCTGCTCCTTGAGTCCTCACACCTACACTATTAGGAACCTTTACAGGTGTGTTTTTATACATTAAAGCCTAGAGGAGCGAAACACTTCTCTGTAACTATCTTTTCTCAGGATCAGGAGGAAATTGCCGGCAGCCTGCTTAGATGGCAGCTGCCTGACTCAGTAGGATCTGTGACAGAGAATCGCCACTTGAAAGAGTCGCATTGCATAGAATATTGGAAATTAGACTGAAAGTGACTTCCCGCCTGGGGGTTAGTTCAGCTGTCATCAGAGAATAAGAAACCAACGATCTCTCTTTAATTAGACATAGGTTGAAATCTGATTTCTGACCTGGATCTGCTGTTGAAGCAAGTTGATCTTGTGTTGCTGCTGGAGAAGTTGTTGCTGTTGTCTCACGATCTGCAGAAAAAGCACCCAGGAAACATTAGGGATCCAGCTAGACTGGGGAGACCAATGCTCTGATCTGAGGCTCACTGAGGAGATGCAAACAGATGCTCCCATGACCTGAATTGTCTGCAGGAGGATCAAACAAGATATATAGTCTCAGTGACCACTTCCATGCCGTATAGGCTCATAGAATGAAACCTGAACAAGACCACCAGTGTTGCAATCCCATTAAGAAAGGGGAGCATTTCAAATGTATTCCCCCTTGATGCATGAATAGACCACTCTTCTGATACTGATAGTGTCATCTTTTTTGATAAAGTGTGTTATGTAAGAGAGGCTCTTGTAAACAAGGGCTTCAGAGTAGCCCAAGGTATTACAGATACTGGATTCCTTAATGAAGATTTGAGTTGTTTTTCTTTGGATTTTAAAAAACATTTTATCATTTTTATTGTATGTATATGAGTGTATCGCCTGTATATAAGCACGCCGATGTCGAGTATTGCCCATGGAAGTCAGGAGAGGGCATCGGATTCTTGGAACTGGAGTTACAGACAGTTGTTAGCTGCCATGTGGGTGCTGGGAAGCAAACTTGTGTCCTCTGAGAGAGCAGTCAGTGCTCTTAACTGCTGGGCCAACTCCCTTGTTTGGGGTTTTTGTAAATACTATTCTCACTGGGGACGTCCACAAAGTCCATGAAGAGCCCTTCAACAGGGCCCCACTCTAGTGTCTGAACACATTTATCTCCCACAGTCACTAGTCACTTCTCCCACTCAGAACGTGCTCTAATCCCCATCTCTTCCTGCCATCAGCACCCGCCCTCTGCTGCGTCTCCTTGGTCTTGAACTTCCTCACTTGGCTCCCCTCAGTTTTGTTCCCTCTTCGTTATTAAATGCGGCTGTTTTCTGAGGTTTACTGTAGACTGTCTTCTTTTCCTTCTGCGTCTACTTTCTAGGAATGTCAACTGGTTCTAAATGCATTTGCCTGGCCAAGCCTTTTGTTTTAAGCTTCAGACTGTTTATCCAGGGAGGTACTCAAAGATGTTCAAAGTCAACGGTTGCAAAGTTCTTCAAGGTTTAGTTCTCAGTGTGGTCACCTTGAGGATTTTAGGGAGCAGCAGAGTCACATGCATGGTGCCTGTACTCCGTCCTTTCTACGGGAACTCAGTACAACGTGCCACACTTTGACCACACGTAACTTTGCATTTACTTTTTAAATATTTTCCTATTTCCTAGGGAAACGCTCACAAATGCAGCCAAGCTGAAGTATATGTGTGCTTTGTACACATTAGCCTGCAGCTGGCTGGCAAAGGGAAACCAAAAAGAATATTTGATAACATTCACAAGTGACAATTTCAAATACTTTAATATGAGATCTTCTCACAAGAATGTAACTTCTGATGCTGTGAATCTTACCACTCTCTAGTCGATGACCCTACATCTTATTCCCATCAGGAATACTTGATTCTCACCACTTGTTTTTATTACAAAGAGTATTTTTCTTTAACTTCTGTATTAGAAAGTTAAAACTTCCAGTAAAATATGACGATGGATCTCTACAGCTACCAACAGAACTTCTTTCGTCTTTCACAAGTGCAGGAACAAATACATCTTACTACTTTTATCCCTAGAATCTGAAAAGGAGCAATTCTTTGTTTTTAAGTAGTAAAAGATATGTTTTTACAAGAAGAATATTATTCTTTTCCTGAAATCTTGACCTTGCCTTTCCGATATCAATAGTTCATTGCCACAGAAATCCTTTTAGTCATACCACGAGAATGCGCCCTGAACCCAGTCACTTCCCCATCTCCCTAGTCTGGCTCTAAGCCACTGTCTCTTGCTAGATGTAAGAACCACTTACTTGTTCTTTGGTTTTTACCCTTCTCAGTCCATTATAAGCCAGCACCCAGAGCCCGCTCTAGTGCACCACTATTCATCCTTTCAAAACCTTTGCTTCTGCTGGGAGCACAAGGCACTGGCTACCCTGGGACTGAAAGCCTATAGAATGCGGTAATCTGATATTACTACTCTTTCCCATTCTCCTGAATCATGCCCGTCCAGCCTTGCCAGATCTCTTTCTGAACCTCAGGGATACACTTGTCTGACCTCCCCAGTGCTGGACAAACATGTACCCTCCACACACCTGGCTCTTTCCATAGATTCTCAGGAACTGAACTCAAGTCCTTAGACTTGCAAGGTAAGAATTTTACCCACTGGCTGTCTCCAGAACTCCTAACCTCAGCCTTAGGAAAAAGAATGAACAAACTTCACCATCAGGTCTCTGACTCAAGAGTGGTGGTGATGCAATGGACCAGGCTAGGTACTGAAAGCCTGACTTGAAGTTCTCTCAAGAGACCTCCTCAGGCTCTGGAGACAGTATCATCTGACATCTCTCTAACCCAGGAGAAGAACCTCAGAGTTGGTTTCTAAGAGTCCAAGGAGAATGCCAGAGGTCTTGACAGAGTAAAGTAGAACATTCTAGAATCTACTGATTGGTGAAAATGTGAATAGAGTGATGTGCTGGATAGCTTTAGTGTCAACTTGACACACCTGGGTTGAGGGAGCCTCAATTGGGAAATTGCCTTCAAAGGACTGGCCTGTGGCCATGTCTGTGGGGCATCTTCTTGATTGTTGAGTTGTGGGGGGGCAGCCCACTGTGGGTGGTGCCACCCCTGGGCAGGTGGGCCCGTGTTGGATAAGAGAACAAGCTGAGCAGGAGCCAGGGGAGCAAACCAGTAAGCAGTGTTCCTCCACGGCCTGTGCTCCAGCTCCTGCCTCCAGGTTCCTGCCCTGAGCTCCTGCCTTGGGCTCCCTGATGAACTGTGACTCAGGAGATGTAAGATAAATAAACCCTTTTCTGACCCAAGTTGGTAGTGGTCAGAGTATTTTGTCACAGCAATTCAGAAACAAGCTGGAACAAGTGAACACAAATGTCCTTTGTATTAATACAACCAAGTTCTCTTCAGGTTGGCCAAAGTAGGGAAGGATTCTCTGCAAAGAATCCATCCCATCTGAGCTACAGTTTGAGATGTTCCCAGCATCTTCCAGCATCCAGATGACTCATGACATTGACTCTCAAGGACAAAAGGCGTGCTGTTCTATGTCAGAGCAAATGGTTCGAACTCATTACAGGGTTAAGGCAAGAAGTGGGTGGTATTCAATAATAGATCAAATATACATCTTTAAGAGAAGTAATAAGACATTGCAATAAAAATACACTGGATGTGGTGGTGCACATCTGTAATCCTAGCTTGCAGTTAGCTGAAGCAAGAGTTCTTTTTCAAAAATATTTTATTTATTATTTTTATTTTATGGGTACGAGTGTATTGCCTGCATGTGTGTACGTGTGTTGTCACGCAGTGCCTGAGGAGGTCTTAAGAGGGCATCGGATCCCCTGGAACTGGAGTTATGGGCAATTGTTAACTACCTGTGTAGGTGCTGAGAACTGAACCCAGGTCCGTACAAGAGTAGCCAGTGTTCTTAATCACTGAGCCATCTCTGCAGCCCTGGCTATGATTTCTTTATCAGCCACAGCTACCCAGTGAGATCCAGAATCTACGATCAAACAACCAACAGGAGTGACACAAAGGGACAGCAACTCATGCAGGTCAACAGAATTTCTGATTATACCAAGGGAAAGCACCTCACACTGTTCAGCAGACGATCCAATATTTCTCTATCACACTGTTTAGCAGATGATCCGATATTTCTCTATCCATTTCAAATCTGAATTCTTAGTCTCATTTCTGCCCAGGTTCAATACTTGTCAGCAACTTTCTGACTTCTTGGGAGAAAGGACTTTCCCACTTGAGGAGCTCCTCTAACCCTAACTCTGGTTCCTCTTTCTCTATGTCCTTGGCCATCACCAACACTGCCAAGTTTAGACTTTCTACCCCTTTTGTTGTATATATAATTCAAGTTTGTGTAACAGCAACCCAGGAAACATCTAACCACCTCATGAAAACCTACTTCCCTTTTTGAATCACATCTATTGTTCAAAGCAAATCTGAACGTCACAGGATGAGCCATCCTTTTTCAAGCTGTTCTCACTGCAATGTTTTCTGGACTTTCCATAGCGCCCCCATTTCATGTATCTACTGTTTTATTAAACAAACTTGTTTTCTGAAAGTTTTACATGGTTATGTAATACCTACTGATCACTCACATGCCCTACTCGCTCTCACTTCTGACTGTCCTGCCTACCCACCTCTTCCCTACAAATCTCTCTCAAATTCATTCATTTTGTTTTGGGACCCCCTGAGTCTAATCAGGCCATCTGTGCTCTGACTATGGATCCACAGCTATCTGTTAGAGCCAGGTGGGCTCAGCAGTGGCTTCCCAACTAAAGACCATGACTCCCTCTCTCTCAGAACCCATCAATAGCTAGCCCTTCAGAAGTAAGGGGTAGGGCCTTATCAGCCAGGACTGATTGTTCATGGGGCCCAGTTCAGGTGATTACAGTTGCAGTGAGTTCCTGATTGTAATGTCCAGTCTGGAGGAAGGCATTTGTCATGATTCTTTCCTGGTATCGTTCTCAATCACTTAGCAGAGTTGAGAGTCTTTTATCTGAAAATGCTTAGGATAAAAACTATTTGAATTTGGGGGCTGGAGAGAAGTCTCTGTGGTTAAGAGCACTGACTGCTCTTGCAAAGGACAGGGGCTGGATTCCCAGCACCCACATGGTGGCTAACAACCCTCCCTAACTCCAGTTCCAGGAGACCTGATGTCCTCTTCTGACCTCCGTGGGCATTGCATGACATGGGTGGACTTTCATATACACAGGCAATACACTCATACACATAAAATAATAAAATATTTTAAAAATATTTATGTTCAAGGAGTTTTGTTCTTTTTCTAAATTATGGAATTTCTGTGTGCTGAAGACATCTTTGGAGAACGAGGTCAAATCAAAACATGAATTCACTTATGTGCCTTAAACATCTTGTGCCCGTAACCTCTAGGTCATTTTATGTAGTATTTTTAATGTGTCTGGGCTTCAGCTGGGACCTGTACTGAGTCTAGCTGTAGAATTTCCCATATGTGTTGTTATGCTGGTGCGAGAAAATGTTTGGGGGCATGTCAGATTTCTGATGCAGGCTCGCCAACCTGAACTGTTCCCACCAAAGTAGTTAAGATGCTCCTTTGGTGAGGGCAGGAGGGTGCTTGCTGAGCTTTTTGGCCTTTTCCTTTCCTTTCGTAGGCCTGGGGAGAGGGGAGGGAGACCTGAGCATCTCCATGTTCGGCCAGCCCTGCCCAGTGCAGACAGCCCCTGAGCATCCGGGCGTCTCGGTTCCCTACCTGCTCCTGCTGCTGCTTGGCCAGCTCCATCTGCTGCCGTTGCTTCTCAATCTGAGAGGCGGCTAGCTTCTTCTGTTCATCGTGGGCGGCCAGGAGTTGCTCCTGCAGACTGGTCAGCTGATTGATCATGCCCATGAGCTGCCTCTCCTTCTCAGCCAGGCTCTCGGGAGTCCCTGAGAACGCAACAACAAAACACACAGGAGACCTGAGAAGACAGCCATGATGGGAGAACAATGGCCCCGCTACCCGCGAACTGCGCCAATGGCAAGTCTGGTCCTGATCCAGGAATACATAGTGATGGCGAGTCCCTCTTTACAAATACCAGAACGGGGCCTTGGGGGTAGACTTCGAGTGAATGAAGCATTTGCCTGGCAAGCATGAGGACCTGAGTTTGAGCCCTGCACCCATGTAAAAAACTCAACAGCTTTCATGGGAGGAGGAGACAGAAGGATTCTGGGTAAACAAGTCTAGACAATCAGCCAGTTCCACCTTCAGTGAGAGACCATGTCTTAAAAATGAGGTGGAGATTAAAAAAGGTGCCTGGTGTCCGCCTCTGGTTTCTATAAGCAGGAGATCACAGATGCATGTACAGACAGACAGACAGACAGACACACAATCAGCATACACACATCTGAACATAAGCATACACCTGTGCACAATGCATACACATGCATGCATGCATACACACACACACACACACACACACACGCACACACACACACGCACACACACAATTCTAGAAGAAGCAAACATTCTGGATTTTTTTTTTCTCTCTTTTTGAGACAGGGTCTTCCTGTAGCCACAACTGGCCTGGAACTCACTATGTAGACCAGGCTGGCCTTGAACTCACAGAGATCTGCGTGCCTCTGCCTCCTGAGTGCTGGGATTATAGGCATATGCCACCACGTCCAGCTCATATTCAGAATTTTTATGACAAGAAATATCCTATAGCTTCTGTATCTTCTATAAGAAATTACAAATTGTTGCTGTGCATCTATGATTTTTAATGTTCTATGCTGAGCCTGTAGTTGAGATAAAATGAGGTGTGAAGCACACGTATTGGTCTTTAGTTTTGCTTCTGATTAAACAGGCCAGACAAAACTATGGAAAGTTAAAGGCCAAAATTATGACATCAAAGGATTATCAAGAACAGGAATTCACCCTACTTAAAAAATGATTTTTAATTAATTAATTTTTTCATTTACTTATATCTTTGTGTGGGGGTGTGCACACATCAATTAATCCATTCATTCATTTACTTATATGTTTGTGTGGGGGTGTGCACACATTCATTCATTCATTGATTTACTTATATGTTTGTGTGGGGGTGTGCACACATCAATTAATCCATTCGTTCATTTACTTATATGTTTTTGTGGGGGTGTGCACACATTCATTCATTCATTCATTCATTCACTTATATGTTTGTGTGGGGGTGTGCACACATCAATTAATCCATTCATTCATTTACTTATATGTTTGTGTGGGGGTGTGCACACATTCATTCATTCATTTACTTATATGTTTGTGTTGGGGTGTGCACACATTAATTCATTCATTCATTTACTTATATGTTTGTGTGGGGGTGTGCACACATTAATTAATTCATTCATTTACTTATATGTTTGTGTGGGGGTGTGCACACATCAATTAATCCATTCGTTCATTCACTTATATGTTTGTGTGGGGTGTGCACACATTCATATGGGTGAATATGACAGCAAACGGCGTTCCGACCCCTAGAACAAAGTTACAGAACGTTGTGAGCTACCCAACATGGGTGCTGGGAACCAGAGTCAAGTTCCCTGCAGCAGCAGCAGCAAGTGTTCTTAACTGCACCACCTCTCCAGCCCCTTCACACTTAAGCATGAAGAAATGTAGTGTTTGGAGATGAGTGTTAACAAATATCATTTTGGTGGTTCCATATATGAAAGACTGACAAACTCTTTGGGTCTTCACTTAGCTGCATATACATAAGATTTTATCTCATATTTAAAATAAAGTGTATGATTTTCTATTTTATTTCAAATTTTGAGCTTTTAACCCATTGAAGTGTGTCTTTCTTTCCTAGCTGCTTCTGGTGGAGCCCAGGGCTTTCCCCACAACGTTTTCATTTCCGACAGAAAACAAGTGTACTAAAACTACAAAAATTAAGTGCCAACCCCCACAAATCAATATCTAGAACTGACTCAACAGTTCTCAGAAGAAATACAAACAGCCAATGAATGTTTCACAAAGCAACTAACATCTTTAGTTATCGAGTGAATGAAAATTGAAACTACTTTGAGATTCTGTCCAGCCCAGCCTGAATGAGCATCTTCAAGAAATGCTGATGTGGAGATGGGGAAAGAGGGACCTTTGCACACTGATGACAGAAATGTAAACTTGGGTAGCCACTGCGACGACTGTCAGTATGGATGTTTCCAAAATCTAAGAATAGAGCTACCATATGGTCTAGCTGCTACCCTGGTCAACCACCCAAATTCTTAATCTTTCCACAGAGATACTTGCACATGCATGTTATTGCCACAACACTCACTGAGAGGTGAAACCAGCATGATGTCCACTCACAGATGAGGAGATAAAGGCTCTGTGCTGGAGAGCTTTAGCTGTCAACCTGACATGCCTGGGTAGAGGGAGCCTCAATGGGGGAATTGCCTCCATGGGACTGGTCTTTCGTCAGGTCTGTGGGTTATTTGTTGAGTGATGTGGGGGCACCCAGCCCATTGTGGGCGGTACCACACCTGGGCAGATGGTGCCCTATTGTATAAGAAAGCAGGTTGAGCACAGGCTAGGAGAGCAAGCCACTAAGCAGCGTTCCTCCATGGCCTGTGCTCCAGGTTCCTGCCCCAGGTTGGCTTCCCTTGATGATAGACTGTGCTTATAAACCAAATAAACCCTTTCCTCCCCAAGTTGGTATTGGTCAGTGTTTTGACACAGCAATCAATGGCAAACTAGAACAGGTACATTATACCATAGAGTCTTACTCAGTCAGTGATGTAAATAGTGTGGGTGTGACTAAGCACTTTGTAATTGGATTTAAAGTCCACTTTAAGATGGAGCCCATATCTGACATTGATATCAGGCCTAGGAACATGTGGCTAGACAGGTCACAAGTCACAGAGGAGAGCCTATTGCAATTACTCTTCTGAATAGATGCAGTCTTAAAGTGGCTTCCAATGACTTATTGCTATACCCATAGATTAATGCATCTCATCTCTCACCAGAGAAGTTTCCTTCCACAGCAGATGGTGATTATCCCAGAAACCCACAACTGGCCAATGTGCAGAGAACAAGAGACTGCAGAGTGGTTATTCCTGAATCGTACACCTAGATCGAACTTCAGCCTCCACAGACTCAGGGATCATTGCAGAAGAGGGTGGGGTGTGGAACGATTTTAAGAGTCAGAGGTGGTAGATGATCACTTGGAGCCCGGGGCTTTGGACATGCAGAGCAGTAGCTGACCAAGGACCCATATCCCTGATTCCTCACAGTTTCTCCAGCTCCTCAATGAACCTGCAGCCCCTCACTATGTCCCAGCTCCTCACTGCTGTAGGTAAAGGCCAACCGTACACACCTACCATATAGCAAACCCTTTAACCTCCTCTAATGAATGACATAAAGAATAAGACTCCTCCCCGCCACCTACATCTGTCATTTGTATGACAGCTATGTCACGGGTAACTAAGACAAAGAGGAAGAGATTTTGTTTCATAAAAATTGCATAGGAATCTAGACTCGTAGAGAGTTCAACCAAGAGGCTTAAAGTTTTGCAAAGCAATCTCTATTTTTACCAACCTCCCAAACTACAATGAAGGAATAAGCCTGATGGCTGCATGTCCAAATTGTTATGCTATTCAAAATGACCTTCCAGTAAAGAAGGCTCACAGAGTGGCCTGCAGACAATGGAGAAGCTAGTGTCATACACAATCCTGGACTTCGGAAACAAACAAACGAATATTCGCTAGATCCTGGGAAAACTCTAGAGTCCTCCCCTACAAAAAAGGAGCAGCTAATATTGACTCATGTAGATTCAGATTTCCTAGAATCACCCCGGGCATGTGTGGACAGGTCAGTTTCCTGTGACCCAAAGGCATGATGCAATTCCCTATATTTCATGAATAGGCATTGATTCTGATATCTCAGCTCTTTGTACTTTTGTGTGTTTTAATCCATGTTATGCTTCTTCAACATACTTGGAATGGGAGGTTACTAAAGAGCAAAAGCATCTTGTTTCCTTTCTTCCTCTTGTTAATAACTAAGGCAGGACAGTTTCTTAGGGTCATGTAGGGGCCACAAAAGCAACACAGGTCAGAGACCTCCTGAATATAATGATGATGTCATGAGGACAGAGAACCAATCTCAATCTCCCTGTCTCAATGTGGGATTCTGCCTAGCCCTAATCTAGGCATTCCCCTTTACTCTTTTGACTGTTCATTCCTGTTATCAGTCTCATTGGAAATTCCATCAACCCTAGAACAGTGTATATATCAGTTCATGGATCTTCATTCGTACCACTACCTCTTAATCCAAGACACCCTTATCTCCTGACTTGACTGTTAGAGTAGTTCTCCAATGACCAGTCCATTACTTTCCCTGCTAAAACCTGGCAAATTTTCAGAGATTTGCTCAGAAGGGGGAATAAAATCATGTCACACTGTGGTGGATAGGACTATCCTCTGACAGATACCATCTTCCCAAGCTGTCTGGACCCACTTGCCTAGGATCATCAGAGCTAAGCTTGTTGACTGTCACACAATGCAAGGAAGGGGACAGGGATAATCAAGGGACCCTCAGCTCGGAGTCCAGCCACATCTCCTAATGTACCAGTTGTCCCTAGTTGCATGTGGTCTGGGGGAAGGGCTAAGGACTTCTAGGGTGAGGACACCTAGAGGAGGCTCTCTCGCCATTTTATACAGCTAATTGGGAAGCTACCATCCATCCGTACTTGGGTGAAGACTTCCAAGTGCAGCCTTCGGGGAGAGTGAGCACCCACTCTCTTGCAAGTAAACCATTACCCTTTGCTTTGCAAGTAAGCCCACTAAACTCACAGGTTTCCAGACTGCAAACAAAATTCGACCTCAGTTTCTTGTTGGGACCAAGGAGAAGGGGGGCCAAGTCTATGTCTCCCCCAGAAGGAATTTTGGCTACACAAAAATCACAACAAAGTCTT